ATGGCATATATCAAAATATTCCATCTTCATCTTCTACCTGAGGGATCTCCATACAAATGTAAATTGTAAGTTGTAAAAGTAACTGATGTGGGGCTGGGGATGTGGCTCAAGCGGTAGCGCGCTCGCCTGGCATGCGTGCGGCACGGGTTCAATCCTCAGTACCACATACAAACAAAGATGTTGTATCCGCCAAAAGACTGAAAAATAAATACTAAAATTCTCTCTCTCTCTCTCTCTCTCTCTCTCTCTCTCTCTCTCTCTCTCTCAAAAAAAGTAACTGATGTGCACTAAGTTAATTTCCTGGCAAAGTTTAGTTTTGAGGTTCTATTTTAGTGTGGTCTCAAAGTAGAAAAAAAATTTAACATTTGATGCTTAATCATAGACAAAATTAAATTGTATCATTTTCAAAATATAGAGCTAATTGTACAAATTTTGTGATCTAATGTAATTTGGACAAGAACAAAACAGCATCTTTTTTTTTCCCCTGAGCTTTTCAGATACTAATCAGAACTTGGACATTACTATTCAAGATAAGAAATTGCTTTCTGTAGCACCAGGCTATTTGTTCCCAGATTTGTTTAAGAACTACCTGTTGTATAAACTCTTCCCTGTTTTGTTCCAACAGATTATTTTCTTCTCACTTTCTTCTACATTTGATTTACTTTAGTTATTTTATATAGAACTAAATGCTTTGTTTTTGCTATTACTTAAACAGATCTTGCCTACTAGGAAAAAATGGTTAAAATACATGATTACTGTTTTTTTTTCCTTTACATTTTCTACAGTGTCTGGATAATATCTTGCACTAAGTACTTATATAATTTCATACATCAATTTATTTTACTCATTAACAGTGATTAGCTTTGCACATTTACTAAAAATGTCCCCTCTCCCTTTGCATTGTCCTGCCTCCCCAGTAGTAAGCAGGTGTGTGTTCTTTATTCCTTGAGAAATCCTGAGTAAGGATAAAAGCTAGGGTGATGTTTCTTGCCCTCACTTGTCAGTGTACCACCACATTCTCAGTATGTCCCCTCAAACACTGCGCAGGGCCCACGACTTTTGCTACCATTACTCTAGTTCTCTTTGCTATGTGAATTTTTAACATAGCATTCTTTCAATCTTCCATTATTTCCTCATTTATTGAATTCCAGTTTCCAAATGATGAACTATACCAATTTTAAATGTGCAGACTGATGATCTTCAACAAACAATATACCTCTGTAACCACTGACACAATTTAGACACCTCAGATATGTTCATTATCCTCAGAGTGCCTCCTGGCCCACTCCCAATTTATCCCCTCATAGTCCACCCCAGCCCCAAGGCAGCTATTGACTTTTAAAAATTATTGATATAAAATTGTTGATAATATTCCATTATATGCTTTAATATCTGTAGAATTCTGCCTTCCCATCTGTCATTTTTGATGTCAATTATTCTATGTAGAGATGTATCAATTTTATTGACATTTACCAGAGCTGGCCTTTGATGTTACAGATTTTTCCTATCACTTGTATCAGTTTTTCATCGTTTTTATTTTCCTTAGTTCCTTCTTTCTATTAACTGTAGGTTCAATTTCCTCCTGTTTTCTAGTTTTATAAGGCAAAAACAGACATCACTGATTTTTAGATCATTCTTCTTTTTCTTTCCAAAAATTTAAAATGAGTTTTCCCTCTGAATAATATTTTAGTTTCATCTCAAATTTGTAATGTTGAGTTTGCATTGTCATTTAGTTCAAAATGACTTATAATTTATTGTGTACTGTGTTGTACATGGTCTTTTTAGCCATGTAGTATTTAATTTCAAAGTATTTATATTTCTTCCCAGATATTGTTTGTTATTGATGCCATATTTAATCCTATTGTGGTCAGCAAATATACTCTGCATAATTTCAGAGCATTTTTAATTTTTTTTGAGATTTGTTCAAGGCCTGACACATAATCTACATTGAATAATATTCCACACATAATTGCAAAAAGATCTGTATTTTATGGAGGTCTATAGACTTCTTAGTCTGTAGAGTAGGAGTGTGGGTAAGAACAATAATTCCAGATTTGTCTATTTTTTCACTTTGATTTTTCTCAGTTTTTCCATCCTATATTTTGAAGTGCTTTTCTAGGCATATACGTATTTAGGATTGTTAAAGTTATCTTTTTATTGAATTGAGCAACTTATCATTATATGACTTATGTTTCTCATCACTGATATTATTTCTTGTTCTGAGTCTATACCAACTGATGATAATGTCACTACTCTAGCTTTGTGATTAGTGCTTGTATGCTCTCTTTTTTACCCATTCCTTAACTTTTGTGTCTAGAGTGTTTTTCTATTTTGACAGACATTGTGTATTTGGACTTTGATCCTGTGAGAACTCTCTAGGACTCGGGATGTAGCTCAGAGGCAGGACGGCAATGCCCTAGCATGGATTGTGTGAGGAAGCCCTGGATTCAATCTCCAGGACAGGAAAGAAGAAGAAGGAGGAGGAGGAGGAGGAGGAGGAGAGAAATTTGTATATTTTTATTGTTTAATTCAAATGTTTATACCATTATATGTTGTATTATTGTTGGTACATTTGGGTTAGAGACTACAATTTATTTGGATTATATATATCCCTTTTGTTTAGTGTTCCTCTTTTCCTCTCTTCCAACTTTTGAATAAATTATTTACTTTAGAAGTTTCCAAATTATTTCCATAATTTTTGCTATACATCTTGTTATATTTTTGTATTCATGTTTTATGTATGCTTTTATATATTTTTTAATGTTTGTTTTAAAAAAAGCAAACTTTATCATTAACTCATTGCATTGTACATTTAGATGCTATCAGACCACTTCCCGTGCAGCAAAGAACTTTACACACATGTACTCCAATATGCACCTGCTTTCCTGTGCTATTTTTTTAAAATCTATAGTATACTTTTAGAGCTATTAACTCTATAATGCATTCTAACATTTTTGTATGGTTTCCTTTATGATGATTATTGTAATTTGTAACATTGAATATATGGGCTTGTAATTTTCCTTAAATTTAAAAGTTTTCAACCACCATTTTTTTTCAAAAACATCTTTTAATCCTTTCTACCACCACCTTCCATTGCTTTCTGGTCTTCAGAGACATGTATCTTTGAGCCAAAGTATTCTTTATAAATCATTGCAGTTCTACTTTCTTTTTTCTTCTGCTTTTTCCCTCTGTTTTTGAGAGATAACCAATTTCTACTCACGTGTTTAAATTCATTTATCCATTATCCTACAGTAATCAAACTCTCATAATTCCATCCTACTAATTTTAGATATCATATTTCTCATGGGTTTCATTTTATACTTCCATTTCTCTGCACATTAGATTCATGCTTTTCTTTACACGGTCTGCATTGTTGTGAGGTGTTTCAATATCTCTAACTGTTATTTCTGGATCTCTTTCCATTGACTAATTTTTCTCCTGAGTATTCATTAGATTTTACTGCTTCTTGGACCTTGGATGCTTTCCTGCTGTTGTGTATCTGGATATTGTTAACTTCCTTGAAAGAAAATTGAGGTTTGTTGTGGCAAGCAGTTAATTTACTTTGGTTCACTTTTATCCTTGGAGGTTTGCTTTTAAGCTTTGTTGGGATATGTGTCTATTAGCCTTTAGTTTAGGGAGAGTTGAGCCCAAATACTAAAATGTAGCTTTTCTGGGATTGCTGTTGGATATCCCAAGAAATCAATGAGGACTTTCCATTCCCAATAACTGAAATTCAAACAGCTACCAGCCCTATGGTTGCTCTGGAAGATATTTAGCTCCCAGCTCTCAGATAATTTCTTGGATTTTTTTTTTTTTTTGGTAAACTCTCTCCCTGCTATTCTACTGCCACACAATTTTTTTTTTAATCTGCTTCAGACTGCTTGATTTATTAAGATTTCTATGTTCTCCTTGAAGAACTTATGGTAATGCTTCTTGTGGCGAGCTCTGCTAGAAAAAGTGATTTTCCTTTAGATTTCAGATTTAGAAATCTACATATAAACTACATGTTAATATGATACCATATGACATAATTGATTTTTAAGATTTCTACTAGCAAAACTCTTTTGTAAAAGAAGATTAAGGATATAAGTATATCTGTGGTTTACATCAATAATTACCATGTCAGTGTGGCCATGCTTGAAAAACTTTGACATTTAATGTTATTTTGATAAGAAAGTCATTTTTCTGATGTATATGCAGATGAAATAAAAATTACCATCTTTTTATAGTTTGCCTCTCAAGGCATGGTTGTTAAATTATATTAAGAAAAGATAAAAATAAATTGAGAGGTTTTTTAATTCAGTGAAACATATGATTACATGGTTTGATTGATAAAGTGAGAATAAATTGCTTTCTCTTATAATATTCAAATATTGATAATCATTGGATGATTAGCTGACAACTTTACATTTAAAATGTGCTGATTAACTTGTTTTACCTTAATTACTCTATGATAGTGACCACCTTATCTTGCCCTTTTATTTTAAAATTAATGAAGTAATCATTTACTGTGGTCTCTTCCACTGTTCTGCCCAATTACTTTACTGCTGAATGGTGCTTTGCATTTTTGCTGGTCCATTAGTCCCATATCATGCTCTTTCTCAAATTCTCTATTCAACTACAAGATAATTAGATGTCATCTTTTAGCAACTTATAACCTTGACACATAAATTCCTTTTTCTCAGTGGTTCAAATTAATGGAAAACTGACAACCTACTAGAAGTTCTAGAGAGACATTATTATTTATAAAATATTAATGCACATTACATATTAATAGGAATCAATAATACTTTGCTATTATTCCATATTACTGAATGATATAGGGTATTAAATGAATATTAAACTTTTTTTTAAAGAAAAATCAATAGCTTTATTTTTCCTCAATATACGTTTAGAAAATTTGTGTGAGAAGAGATTTCTTAAAATAGACCAGAGGACTATGTACAAAATCAAGAGTTTCACACCAGTAGCAAAAAGTGCATGGATGAAGGTGCGGCAGCCTAGGACCTCTCCATTAGAGGGGAGGCGAGGTATTTGATGGTTTTGGAGTTCAGCTGAGGGATCGTGCTGATCTTCAGGAGTTTGCTGCTGGCATACTTATTCTTGATGGCGATGAATTTAGTTAAGTTTTCATTTACTTTCACCACATTTTTGGCCATGTGCTGCATGACTTCCAGTACTTCATTCTCTGTGTATCCTGTGTAATACTGCTGCTTTAAGTTCCATTTTCCTTGGCCTAGAACCTTCTGAGACAAGCAGGAAGCAGCCGCAGCTACCTTAGAAGGGTGATAATACACCATCTCATAATCAATGAGAGTCAGCTCCATCAAATATTTGGCTAATGTATGCTGTTCAACATCAACTTCCCCAGCTTTTGATGCTCGCCTTAAAAAGTGAAGTGGCAAGGGTTGACTCAATTCAAACTTCAGTTCTTTCAAAATTAAAGTTTCCATTTCTCAGATTTGAGAACTGGTATAAGCATCGTCTGTGATGTAGACGAAGTCTTCTATATTTGGAGAAAACATCTCCTCATACTTGGAAGGCAAGAGCAGAGCTGTAATCTCAACCAACTGAAGTTTCTTACGGGAGACTGGCTGAACCTGTAAAAATCGATCCATGACAGCAATGCACATGTACAGAGTTTCCTGCAGAAGCCTAAACTTGGAGTGGACTTGAACCAGCCAGTCCATCGGGATGGCACCCATACGTCCATTTATATCTCTTCCATCCAAGAAATGTAGGTTTATGGATTGCAAAACCTCAAGCTGTCTTAGATACTGGTAGATATCTTTAACATAGTCACTGCAGAGCTGAGGGTTCTCCCAATCCTCATTATCAATGTCCTCAATTTTGCAGAGCAAGGCATCAGAGAAAGCTTGGCAGAGGTTCTCTTCCTTCATGGAGACATCCTCAGTTGTGGGAGAAGGACTCTTTGGAGCCAACATTTCCATCTGTACTGGTTTCACAGAAGCAGTGGGTTTCAGTTTGTTGACATTTGTTGCTTTGGTGGGCTGAACCGATACTTTGGTGTTTTGAGTTTTCTACAAGGAAAATACAGGATAGAGCAAGACAGTACATGTTGTCCCTCAGGTCTATACAAAATCAGCCTCTAATGTACATTTTGCCTTATGGTTGTTACCTTCACTACTTGTGCTGCTTTGGTTGTAACTCTATTTCCATTTTCTTTTAAAACCCCACGCCTGATAGTCACATGACTCTTGGCTTTAGAATTAACGCCTATGTCAATATTCTCCAAATCAGTGGACACCGTCGGGCATTGGAGCAGCGCCATGAGGGAAGAGAAAGACAGGTGTGCCCGCCTGGCCCAGGGAGGGACATGGACAGAAGCAGAATGGAGCTAGCGTCTGCAGCACCGTTGGGCCTGCACTCCAGGCCCGCACCGCTGGAATCTTCAATATTAAGCTTTTTAAAATATATATATATATTTTTTTAGTTGTAGTTGGACACAATACCTTCATTTTATTTATTTATTTTTACATGGTGCTGAGGATTAAACCCAGGGCCTCACACGTGCTAGGTGAGCACTGTACCACTGAGCCACAATCCCAGACCAATATTAAGCTTTTATACTATCACTTGATTGTGTTTTTCTGAGTACATACATATATATGTCATGCACTTATGCAGATAAGCATAACATAAAAGCTTTGGAAGTTAAAATTTGTTATATTATTTGCTTTCTTTCTAAAACCATATGATATATTTTTATATCATCCTTTTCTCATCTCAGTTCATGATACTTAAATTATATTTTAAATAGATAAAAATTAAGGAAGTTTCTTTTTTCCAGTGAAATGTTTGATTAAATAGTTTTAATAATAAATAAAAGTAAATTCTCCTGTACTGTTTATCTCATGCATGCACACATGCGTGCGTGCATACACACACACACACACACACACACACATATATTAATAAAATATATATTATTAATGTTGGAAGAATGGTAAGGATAAGTACCTATGAAGAAATAAAAGACAATTTAAATAATGAATATAAGTTAAAGAAATAAAAAATATTCAGTGAAGGACAAAAAGAAGAATATTGGTAGAAACCTTGAGGTGAAAGTAAATCTAAGTATGTCTGAGAACATGAAAGAAGGTAAAGAAGATATTATGTGAGATGATGCTGGTAAATTCTGCTGAACAGTAAAGAGAATGGGAATTTTAATGTATTTATTTAATGATTTATTTAACATCTTTGATGTTGTTATTTTGCTCTGTATTTTGGAATTTAAAAATATATAAGACATGGCCCATTACTTTAAAGATTAGTTGGGGAAGAGACACACACAAATCATGCAAAACTTGAGTGGACATTCTACAAGTGATGTGTATATGTAACTCTAGGATATACAAATATTCTCTGGGAATAGTATTTATATACCTACTCTTTCTTGTTAATATTGAAGCATACAAATTTGCACATGTTAAAATATCTTATTTCCAAAAATGGCAATCACATATGTTTGATCTTATCAAATTAATTACCTGGGGTTATGTCAAGGGTTGGCATATCATGCATTGTTTCTTTTCCATTTAATCATCCCTTTTATTCTTTTCAAATAAAAGGTATAGCTTATTTTCATCTAGAATCTTCTTATGACATGATTCAGGTGGAAAAAAACAGAGGAATCAAATAAAGAATAATTAGAATATGTCTTGGTGTCAAAATTCACGATAAGGCTTTAAAAACAAAACTTGGATATGGGCAAATAATAGTGTCAGAAATAAGATATCTTGAATCTGAAAATGCTAACCTGCATTCAACTATGACTATGATTGGTTTGTTGACACTTTTATCAGTATAACATATCCTTGTATGTCCAATAACAGTTTTATTTGCTTGAAATTAATAAAGCCATGTCATCTCTCTCTGGGGTCACTTTGCATAGTATATCCTTTCCATTTTTTTTTATTACTTAAACCTATTTATCATTTTGAGCCAAATGTGTTTTCCCCTCCACTCAGTCTATTTTACTGATTTGTTTACAACATTTGTATTGGTGCATTTACTGACAATGTAGAATTTGTGTCTGCTATTTTGCCATTTTTTCTACATACTTTGTTATTTTTTATCTTTTTCATTACTGACTGTGTATTAAGTAGATTGTACAATACTTTAAATCTCTTCTTATTTATTTTACTACAATACTTAAAATTTTTGTTTCTGTGGTTGACTTGGGGATTATTATTATAAAATTTTAAACAATAGATTTTTATTAATTTAAATAGTACACAGAAAGACTTTGACCTTTTTACTCCTTACTAGTGTCAATAGAACCATGCAAGTTATGTTGTTATACGTTGAGTCTATTTTATAAATATCACATTAAGTATTTGCTTTTAAATATCATAGGAGAGAAATACAAATTAAAGCACACTTGTACTTTCTTTTAGATTTACCTGTATATTCATATTTACCGGTGACCTTTATTTATTTGTGTGTATCATAATTAATTAAACTCTAAGAGATTTTTCTTTTCAGCCTGAAAATATGTGTTTCTTGTAGGGCAAGTCTTCTTCTAGCTGCTAGCAATAAATTTTCTCACTTTTGGTTTATATCAGAACATTTCAATTTCTCCTTGGTTTTTCTTTTTTAATATTTTTTTTAGTTGTCAATGAACCTTTACTTTATTTATTCTATGTGTTGCTGAAAATTGAACCAAGTGCCTCACACATGCGAGGCATGCATTTTACCATTGAGCCACAATCCTAATCTTCTCCTTTGTTTTTGAAAGATAAGATTGATGCATACTGGTTCTTAGTTTACCTTCTTTTTTTTTTTTTATTGTTGGTCGTTCAAAACATTACATAGTTCTTAATACATCATATTTCACAGTTTGATTCAAGTGGGTTATGAACTCCCAATTTTACCCCGTATACAGATTGCTGTATCACATCAGTTACCCTTCCATTGATTGACAAA